CTTCTTTCCCCGGGGCGGGGAACCAGCCGAAACTGGCAGCGCAATCCACGCAGCAGGGCTGTGATGGGGAGGCAACGTGTCCTGGCTGGGCGAGGGGCAGCGGCGGCCGAGCTAGCAGCACATTAAATCCAGGCTATATTTGTGTGTTAACCCACAACTAATTGCTTGGCCCTTGCCGGTAAAATCCTGCCAGCAGAGTCTTTGTTCATGGCTAAACATGCCCAACACAATGACCCAGAGAGGGGGGGCTCCACCACTCCCTCCTACCCGCCTCGGGCTGGAGCACAGCCCCTTCACAGCCTCACAGCATCCCTGGTCACTGCACCGCTGTCCTTCAAAGCCCCAGCCGCCGAGCCCTGAGAGTGCACAGTGGCCTCTGATCCCATCTGAGACAACGAACGCAGTCATCTCCAGCCCTCGGCCACCCGGAGAACAGGGTGCTGCTCCTGAAGCTCAGCAGCCAAAGGAGTGCAGGCTTCTAAACCCCAAACTCTTCTGAATCGTGCTCCTGGATCTGTGGGTTTATTGCAGTGGTTTTCATCTTCCTCACCTCTGTTCACGCTGGGTACAGGCCCTGCAAAACAGCGCGTCTTACCTGCTGCGATGGAGTCCAGAAGCAACAGTGCCGGATAAGGGCTCGCTCGGGGCTGGAAGAGCTTTCACGGGAAGAGCGGCTGTGCTGCTTTCCACAGCCTCAGCAGGACAGGAGCAGGCTTCCCAACCGCAAGCTGCAGCTCAGCAGCAGACCACAAGCACGGCTGCGAAACAGGGCACCAGAAACGTTCAGTGTCCACCTGAACCCCCCCAAACCCCAAAGGGGCTCTGGTCTTTGCCCACCAAGGACAGAGGCAACAGCTGGCTGGTGCAGCTCATGGGACCTTTCCTACTGCAGTCAGGCATCTCTCATACGAGAAGCTATTGCAGGAGAACAATTTTGAAGAGATCAAGTGGGATCAGTGCCTTACTCATCACTTGCTCCAGCGCTGGCTGCTCCCTGGGCTGTGTTTACTCTGTGTCCTAGCAGCCGCACCGCCCTCCCTCTCCGCCCTGAGAGCACGTGTTCCCGTGGGCCGGGCTGGTTTTTCCAGTGGCTCTCTAACGCCACCCGGGCTCGGGCTGTGCCACTCGGCTTCTGACCCCGCACTGGGCCAGCCGAGGAATACAACCCCCGTCATGACACACCTGGGTGCCACAGCCCAGCAGGTGCCCGTATTTTGACTCAGGGTTTCCTGGCACATCAGAAAGTGCCTATTGCATCACGCCTATGACTCTTCAAGCCTCTGGTGCATTAACGACAGTAACATTAGCAGCTGGTTACTGGAATTGCACAGGCAGTGTCCACAGGAACGCTGTCCTAGGTGACAGCAGAGCCAAACGTTGTCATACCAGGACATGCCACCCCCCTGCTGCCGCCTCCATCCCCAGCAGCTCTAAAGCCGTCCCCGGGGGCAGCTGATCATGTTAGCTGCATGCTTGGCGTGGGCATTGCCGTGGGGCCGGCTAGCCCAGCTGCTACAGACCCTTCCCACCTGCCAACAGCTTTTTGGCTGGAGTTTCAGCTCGGTAACTGGTTTTCCCCTCTGCTTTCCAGGACTCAGCCTCCGAGCGGCTGAATGGCACAGGTAATTCCCACGGGAGGGGGGGCACGGGTGCTGCCAAGGCTGGACCTGGCGACGCAGGGCCACACTGCTGCGTTGCAGGTCCCAGCACAAGGCGCAAAGCCTCCACGGCGCTGGAGTCCTTCAAGCGGATCGGCATGCCCGTCCTGGCAGCACTGCTCGGCATCGCCTTCGTGGTTACGGTCGGGTTCCTGGGTATGGCTCCTGCTCTCCTCTCCCCTCCGCTCTCCTCCTGCAGCTGCTGGGCACAGCCACGGCTCGGCACACACAGCCCTGGACACAGGGCTGCTCTGCCGCCAAGCACAAGCAGCACCACCAGCTCAGCGCTGAGCTCCCCCTTTCCCTCTAGTCAAGGTTTACGGGTCCCCGACGGGCCACCGGCTGGGGGTGAGTCCAGGACACCCTGCTGCACCTCCAGAGGGCCTGGGCTGCTGCTGCAAGCACCTGCCTGCCAAAGCCCCCCGTGGCAAAGCTGACTTTGTGTCTGTCTCCAGCCCGTGTTTCCAAAGACAGATCCATCCTGCAGGTGCTTAACAGAAACACCGGAGCCTGGTCCTGCATCTGCCACGACCACTTCAACCTAATGCTGGCAAAAGCAGCCTGTGAGCAAATGGGCTACAGGAGGTACACGGCTGCTTTCTCCACGCCTCTCTCACCCGCTTTGTCTATCCTTTTCCCATAACAGCTCTTTTGGAGTGGGGCTCTGTTTGCTTACAAACCACTCAGAGCTCTGCACTGACGGTTTCAGTCTATCCCCACCACGCAAAGCGCTCTGTGCATCCCTAGCAGCTGGCTGCTCTCTGCGCTAGCAGCCCTGGCAGCTTCCCAGGTGAGCACAGCTCTGTGTCCAGCATCCTCTGCAACCTCCCCAGCCCATGGGCACCCCGCGCTGCTCCCAGCCCTCACCTCATGCCCACCTACTCACAGCGACCCACACAGCAGGGCTGCCCTGCAGCCCCCAGCAGCACGCGAGCACTCACCGCACTAGAGCAGCCCCTCCTGGGGCACACACGGAGCTCAGCCTGGGTTCTTACTGCCATGGAGCTCTCCCAAGGAGGGGTCTGTGGCACCGCACTCCCCTTTTAAAGCCCTGGGAGAGCAGCAGTTGCCTGGGGTGTGGTGCTGGGATGGGGGTGTGGGTGCTGCACAGCTGTGGGCAGGGCTGGGTCCTTGCAGCCATCACGAAGCACCATGCCACCCACCTGTGTCTGCCTCGTGTGCTGCCCTGAGCTAGAACCGAGTTGGTCGGGCTGCATTCAGCTCAAGCTGGTTAAAGGCAGGCTTTGGGGAAACAGCTTGCTAGCCCTGCATGTTTGGTACCAGCCCTGGATTAAGGGAGAGTTTGAGTTAAGTTAGGGGTATACTGGACAAGATGGGTTCTGGTGTTTGAGCCCCTCTAGGAGCCCAGACTGAGCCCAAGGTGGCATTTTCCAGTTCCAAAATGTCAAGGACTGAGGCTTTGAGCACAGGTCTCAGATGTCACAAGAGGTAACAGCAGGGACATCCCTGGGAGCTACCTGCCCCACGCCTCCCTGAATAGTGCGGAGCAGTCTCCCTTTCTCTAATACGCTCCCGCCGCTGGTCGTGGGCTCGGTGGCCGGGGCCCCCATCGGGCCCCCGGGTCAGGGCTGGGGCATTTTGCTCCTTTGGCATCCCCGTTTCCCAGTCCCAAGGAACCCCCTTTTTCTATGGGGTCTTTCTCTTGCGCACTGGCGCGGGCTCTGCAGCAGTGCCTGCCCTCTCCCAGCACCTCTGCCCGGCTGGTAGCGTGCCGGCGGCTGCGTACCCCAGGGTGTGCTTGCTGACCCCTGCCCCCCGTGTCTTCCAGCACGCCCACTTTCCGGCCGGTGGAGGTGGGCGCGGGGCAGCCCCTGAGCCTGCCGTGCCAGGCTGCGGAGCCGGAGCCTCCCCTCCACCAAATGCAGCCCTTTTCCTCCCTCTTCCAGGAAATGCTCCTCGGGGTTTGTTGTTTCGCTCTTCTGTTCCAGTAAGTATCCTCAGGCTGTTTGCACCTTGCGGGCACGCAGAGCCTGGTGCCGCTCCAGGTCCTCGCTCCTGGCATGGCCCCTTGTGCTGCGCTGTGGCCAAAAGAGCTCGCCTCTGGCCCAAGCCCTGGTTCCGGCACGGCTTGCACGAGAAACGTTGGGTGGAATCACTGCTAACTTTCTTGTTAAGCCACTGTAAGCCTCCCAGAAATGAAACACCTCAGAAAGGGTTAACCGGCTGCCTTGATAGGTTTACTTTTGCTGGTGAATTACCCTGGTTAAACTAATCCGCTCGCTGGGCTGAGAAGGCAAGGAATGGAGGAGCCCATTTCTGCAAGCCCGGGGACGATGTGCAAACAGGGAACAGAAGGGGGGTGTCAGGCAGCCCACGAAGGAGTGGCACAGGCAGTGTCGCGGGCGTGAGGCGCCTGGGCCACGGTCCCTTCCCGGGGAGGCACGGGAGCCTCCGTCCCCGCTCACCCCGAGGACGGAGGAGGGCAGAGCGGGTGCTCTTTCTCTCCCTGCCGCTGCAGCTAACGCGTGGCTTTGTCGCTGCTCTGCTGCCCGGCAGAAGACTGCGGGGAGAGCACCAGGACTCCGCGCGTGCTGGGCGGGAGCCCGGCCGCCATCGAGGCTTGGCCGTGGCAGGTCAGCTTGCAGTACAGGAAGGAGCACATCTGCGGCGGCAGCATCATCGACCCCAGCTGGGTCCTGACGGCAGCGCACTGCTTCAAGTGAGTGGGCGAGCTCCCCGCTGCACCGCCCCGGCCCGCCAGCACCACGC